TGCTGAAAACCCAAGCAACCTTTCCATGACCTGGACCTAAGTCTCAAAACAGCAAGACTGACACGGTGGAGAATCAGTTGAGCATCATGGGGCTTTGAAACCTCGCATGAGGCATTTGCACAGCTCCACTCATCCAGTACCAATTGCATGGCTGAGCTCCGTTTCAGTTTGTACTGCGGGAAACGAAGCACTAGAATTAGGGCTAACCAAACCATGCATGTGCTTCCTGGCTAGCAACTCAGAACAGTAGGTCGAGGCTGCATCTGGCCACAGGGATCTCAATTCATTACCTTCGTTGTGACTCAGAGCGTTCCCCACATATGATGCAAATGACCAGGGCGCTATAAACAGCGATGAGAACCGTTTTTAAAGCCATGTCATTGAGCTACGAGAGCGGAAGTTGATGATGAAAGGTATTAATAGCAGAAAAAAGTATTATTAATATCATGAAGGCTGATGAACTTTTTGATCAACAGAAGTTATCCATACGCTTGTGAAAAGGCAGGTGTGCACAGTCCAGATGTGAATGTCTGTGCTCACCCTGCATTCCTTTAAAAATCACATATATTTTCTGTGTGCAAGGGGAAAAAAGCGCTGCTGCACAGGTACAGCTCTGTGCTAGGTGTGGGGGGTCATAATGATGTACTCCGTGTTACACACATTGTTTCCCTGGTCTGAAGTTTAACCAAGTAGACCCAATAGGAAGATGAGAGCCACAGAATACCTGCATGATAGGGCTGGGATGAATGGAGCTCTGCGTTTCTCGGAGAAATGTGTGAATTGCCAGGTTTCAGCCAATCAGATCATCTTGGTTGCTTTTGTCAAAGCTCATCGTCACGGACTTGTAAGGAGTAAAGCGAGGTTTCATTATACTGGTTTCTCTGCTCCATCTAGCGGGAGAAAAAGGGAAGCGGATCCATGCCACAAAATCTTTAAGTTTCTGTGGCTTTTGAAAAGAAACATTCTCTTCACCTGCAACATATCACTGTCATTATTACATATTCCCTATAGCACAGTGTTTTTATTTTGTTGGGATTTGTATCCTGTCCCATCCAGACGGCTCGGAGTGGCTAGAGCGTAGAGCCGCAAGCATGTTCAGAAACCTCATCGTGCAAGGTGCTGGATGAACACATCCTAAGAGAGCTTATCCTGATGAATGTGCAATCAATGAAGGTGAAGAGTTTTCAGGAAAGTTTCAGTTATGGAGAAAGGTCTAAGTGCGGGGAAGAGAGGCTCAAAGCTGGTATCTCAAGGCGTGTTTCAGGCTACAGACTTTTTAGTAGTTTTCTTAGAAGAGACCGTGGATCTCTACCTCCCCTTCCCCGTATACAGACACTCTATTATGGGAATACCGTGTGAATGAGAGAGGTTTGCATACGTGTAGATATGTAAATCGGCACCGTGCCAGCACTTGCAACTCAAGGACATGCCGCGTCATTCCTGGAGACAGTAGCCAAGTGTCTGGTTGCTATACATGGCTTCTTGTGTACAGCTCGACACGTACAGGCTGGACCCCTGCCATTTTCTGTGCACAACTAGTGCTGGGCTACCCCCACTTTCTTGGCTCTGTTATGTACCTTAAAATAATCCACTGTAGCTAGCTGTGTAGAGAGGGTATATCACTGCCTTTTCTAGAGCTCCCCAGCAAAGGATAGAGAGGTGCAATTCAGGCTAAATGATCGATGGATACATCCCGTACTGCCTAAAGCTTGCCATTCGCATAGAGGCTTTCTATACTAAATGCCACCCTCACCCCCGCCGCCAGCCTTTATGTCCCATCCTAAGCAGAGCATATTACAATGACAAACCCTTGATCGGCTCAGTCACACGGGAGGCTAAGGCCAGTCATGAAAGCTGCGTGCCTAGGTAGCTACATACACCCCTTTTTTTCCTGGAAATGGCCTGAGTATGCGACTTCCTTGAAATAGTTTATCGACTCTGTGGTGGGTCATTACAAAGAATAGTCCTCACTCAGGAAACACACGATCAAAGGGGGGGATGTTGCTTTTTTTTTTTTTTTTTTTTTAAACTGATGCTGCCTTTTTACTTACTTGTACTCAACTCGTGAGCCAAGATCCTTTCCTGTGACCCCATCTCCGCTTCCCACCTGCCACACAGGGTATGAGCACCTGAATAATTTCGTGTGAGGTAAAGGGGCATGTGAACCTGCAGCCCATCAGAGCTGGAATACCAAATAGTCTCAGCAAGGTGTGGTCTTTGGGGGTCTGGGGTAAATGCAAACCTGGAAGAGTGCAAAGGCAGCTGGCAGGGCAATCCAGGGAAGGGGTGGCAATCAAGAACAATTACACGGGAGTCTAAAATCCATAATTAATTCTGGCACTGGAAATGGGCCCATGAATTGGTCCTATTCTCAGCGGTGGCTGATGACAGAACAAGGAGCAATGGGCTCAAGCTGCAGCAAGGGAAGTTGAGGTTAGGTATTAGGAAAAAAAACTTTCACCAGGAGGGTAGTAAAACACTGGAACAGATGACCCAGAGAGGTGGTGGAGTCTCTGTCCTTGGAGGTTTTTAAGACCTGCCTAGACAAAGCCTTGCCTGGGATGATGTAGTTGGGGCTGGTCCTGCTTGGAGCAGGGGGTTGGACTCAATGTGACCTCCTGAGGTCCCTTCCCACCCTCATTGCCTGTGAGTCTGTGAATCTAATCCGCCAAGCAAGACAGAAAATGCTTTTCCCATCCCGTGAAAATATTCCATGTTGGAAAAGTGTTCCCATTGAGCATCAAGTTAAACCCCAGAACCTTACAAAGGAAAAGCAAAGAAACCTCAGAAAGCAAAGAGCCCTCAAGGAAGGTACTCACCTGGGCTGTGGAAGATGATCTTCAAGCCCCTGCTCCATCTGCTGCAAACCAGAATAATCTGTCCATCTCTGCCCAGAAACTCCAGCCTCAGCCTGAGAAACCTACAGCCTGACCAGACACCACTGCAGAAAGAAGTTCCCATTTTGATGAACAGTTGTGTCTCCAGGCCAGCTTTACTTTCATCTCCTTTTCATTCGCTGCAGCTCAGAGTGGTTATCCGCAAAAGGAAGCACGCTTGCAGGAAGCATCCTGCCCAAGACCACAGCTGTAACGTCTGTGCTCTTTGCTACTGTCAATGCTAAAAGACACTGCTAGCGCACCATAAAATTGCAGAGTTCTTTGCCTGGAGAAAATGGCTCGCCATGCCTTGAAGCATTTGTAATCTAACGGCTTCACCTGAAGGACTCGAGCTGACACGAGTAATGTTTAGTCATGTAGGCTGTACCAGAGTGAGGAAGCTATGCTGTGGTGATGGGCCCTTTAGAAAGGGCTCAGGTCAGCTGGAGGAAAGAAATGCAAATGCAAGTCAGACCAGATAAAATAACTCTTACCAACCAGGCTTTTTGTCTTCTCAAGTGTTAAATCAGGAAAAATAAATGGTAAACATCTGTTGACTGCTGGAAGGAATAGTTTCATGCTGAATTGCTACTCAAGGCAAGTCAGCGAACAGGACATGAAGTTGTGAGCCAGGAGACCCCAACTTCTGATCATGAACCCATTCCTGATCGGCACGTGACTTTTAACAGCTCACCCTCTCTGTCCCTCAGTTTCCTCATCTATAAAGGGAAAGAAGATGCTTCCATTTTCTTAAAACTGCTTTGAGATCTGCAGTTGAGAAGTGCTAAAGTATTACCCCCGTCTTCAGTCCAGCACTTGCTCTGTTCTTGGCTCATCACTGAGCATTTTGTCATCATCTAAACCCTCTCAGTCCCTACTCCCACTATTGTGTAGTGTGGACATAACCGCACTGGCTCAAAGGTAAGCTAGCTTAGGTATGGGTAACCTTATAGGCATAGCAGAGGCTGAAAAACTCATGTGGGACGCTGGGTAAATACTCAACATGCCCTTAGGGATACATGTGCCAAGCAAGATTGCAAGGTCTTAGGAGCAGAGACTACCTCTGTTATGTATCTGTACAGCTCCTAGCACCATGGGGACCCCAGGGGATAATACAGTGCTGCTTGACACTACTACTAGCAGTTATCATTCGTTCTGTAGTTGGCCGCCGTGTTGAAGTTCAGCTCCCCTAGTCCACGAAAGCCCTTTCAATAGTCTGCTGGGCCAGAAGAGGGCACCCTTGACCACCGACGGACACATCCGTAACTAGAAAACGGGCATCGAGGGCGTCCAGAGGAAAGTCGTGCCTAGGAAGCACAAGATACATCACCTGCATCGACAAAAATATTATCCTACTTACGGCGTGAAAGAGCCAGCTGTCATGTTCGGCTTCGGTTTAAAAGATGCCACATGGAATCTGGGCCTCGCACAGCAAAAGCCCTGAAATAAAGACATCTTTCTTTCATAAAGAAAATGCCATTGACACTGATTAGCTTCTGCCTAGCCCGGAGCCATGAGGAAGTTCAGTAAAAGGATGTGATTTATTAGATGGTGTTGCAAAGAGAAGAGATAGTGTTTGAGACTAGCCTCCGGTAATTAATACATGGATTCTTCCAGTTGTGTGTTGTTCTCTCTTTCTTTTGCCTCCTAGCCTATGCCTGAGGAAGTTTCCTGGATGACAGGACATGAGACATACACCTTTCCATGCAAACAGGACAACTCAAGCGATTAATCAGATCTTTTCTTTTGCAGTGTTAACATAGGATGATCACACCTCCTCCCTGGGTCCCGCAGAGGGACGTTAAGGGACTTGTTCAAGGGCAGTAGAGGCAAGTTAAGGTAACAGCTTTATTACTGAGCCATCATTCCTCCCCAAATACCTACTGAAAATCTAGGCTTACAGACAATGCTACTGCTTTGATGTGTCTTTTGGGCTGGAAAGAAAAGGAGGCAAAGGTCTACTGCCTAGCAAAGGTACCGCCATGAGAATGGCAGCCTCCATTGCTAGAGTTTTAATCTATCCCATTGTCCTGCTGACTTAATCCTGTTGTGTAATGCTTGGATGGGAAGGGTCTGCTCACCTGTGATCACTGTGGGGATCTCAGCCCAAATCCACAAGTTTAGTAATAAGAAAGCACTTTGAACAGCATTGACCCAAGAGTCGCGCTGGTGTTCTGACTATGGTACTAAAGAGGTGATAAAGAGCTACTCGGTGGTCATTTGTCAGCTGCAGGGTCTGTTCGGTGATCTGGGGTCTCCAGTTCCTTTATTCTTCTTTGTTATTACAGGTTAATTTGAACAGCAAACAGCCCACCGCTGGAACAGTTTGAACCAGTGGGGTTGCTTTAATGGTCACCAATTCCAATTGGAAAACTTGGCGCTCATATTCTTTATAGGTCACCACGTGCTGCTATTTCATCTAGCCACAATTAGGAAGTGCCTCTAATCAACAGGGTGAAATCCAGCTCAGTGCATCTCACTCCTTTGCAGTAGTAAGACATGGATTTAAAGCATCGTGTCTGGAAACGCTCTGCTGCAGAACCACCCATGTCCACATCACTGTGCTCAGTTTAAAGCTTCGGAGTCACTGGATGCATTTAAACTGCAGTGGAAGGTGTGATTGCAGCACATGTAGCGTATCACAGACAAACTGAACTTAGCTCCTTCAAGGACCAAGACTAATGAAGCAATGAGGGCAGGAGGTTCAGGTGCCAAAGACATATGCAGGATGCCAGGGGGGTATGTGTAACCCATGCAGAAGTGTGTGCCTCATTGGTTTTAGTGCTGTTGCTATTGGAATTGGCTCAATTAAAGCTAATTTAAGGATGATTGCCATTATACCTCCTAACTGTGGTGTAAACACAAACCTGTCAATGCAAGCCCTCCCCTGCCCTGGAGAATGGCATGCTCAAAGCCCCCAGGTCAGTGTTGCTCTGAGAAAGCAGAGCTAGATGGGAGAAGGATTTCCATTGCACAGAGAATTTCAAAGTGATGAAGCTTGGCTGTGTTCAGGGTTGAAATGAAAGCCCGATATTTTGAAGTTTCCATGAAAGGGAGAGGTGGCTTTGGGGCCACCTGCCTAGCAGGCTGCAGTGGACCCTGGAAGCTCGGCCCTCCCTGCTTTGAGGCAGTCTCTCCCGAAAGTTTTTTTTCTCCAGGGATCCTACAAGCCCATTGTCCCACTAAGTCCCTGTGAAGCATGAGATGTAAAGTGTGCTAACCCTTTTTCCAGGACAATCATGACTTAATTGCCATTCATCCCAGGAACAGGTTATGCATGTAAAGGGAAGGTGCCACTCTTCTTTTGCACTGGGTTCGGACTCAGATCAATCAGAATCACCTCAAATGCAACATCTGTTTTTACCCTCGCAGGCCACCCAGAGCTGTAGGGCACCCTAAAGCAGTGAACAGATGACTCCATGAGATTGGCTGTAACGTGTCTGCAGAGCTAGGAAGCTCTTCAAGGCAGAAACTGTGTCCCTGCCTGTTTCTACAGAGCCCAGCACCATGGAGTCACAGTCTGGATGAGAGTCCCGAGTTCTACAAGAGTATGAATACGGGATGATTGGACTGAGCTGGACAGATGCCTTTCTGTGTGCATGGGCATACAAACAAGTCACTGTGAGGTTACTCTAGGATATGACTTCAGAGCACATCATTGACTTGCAAGGCAATGCAAGGTAGCTTAGCCTATGGGCAATGCAAACTCCACCATTAGCAAAGGGCAAGATTCACTGCACTTATCATGAGGTAAGAATGTCCATGCTGGAAATTATCACTGAATTACCCTAGAGTAAGTTCATTTCTTAGCTTTCCTTGCAGTAACTTACCCAAAGAGGTGGTGGAATCTCCATTTTTGGAGGTTTTTAAGACCCAGGTAGACAAAGCCTTGACTGGGATGATGTAGTTGGGTTTGGTCCTGCTTGGAGCAGAGGGTTGGACTAGATGTGACCTCCTGAGCTCCCTTCCAACCCTCGCTGTCTGTGATTTTATGATTCAAACTCATGTGTCGAGCCCAAGCCCAAAAACAGATGCATGGATGCCGCTGAAGTCCCTGAACTAAACTTAGCAGAAATTTGGCCCCTTCTGCAGGAAGACATATCGCACATGCTGTGGAGGTTAAATAGTTGCTGACGTGGGGGAATTCAACTGGTGCTATTCTTGGCACCGCTTACCTCTGTAATGGAGCGACGTGGCTTATCTATCAAACTGTCTTATCCCTGGGTCTATTATTAGCCCACCCATAAGTGTTGCAGGCTTTATTACAGTTAGATTATAAATGCTTCAGAGCAGGGCTCCTTGGCACCTTTGTGCGCTCGATGGCCAAGTGTATTTGAAACCCTTTCCTCCTAGTTCCAGGTAGAAGAAAAAGAAAATGTGACAAACTCAAGGCTTTAAGTCTTTAATGTAGACGAAAGTTTTGGGGGGCTTTTTTGTTACACTTTAAGAACATGCATTGCTTGTAGACAGTTTGAGGCTGAGACTAGCCAGGACACACAAAGATGCTCTTTGCTCTTACTGCTGCTGGATCTCTCAGCGAAGTTGCTTTGTCTACCTTTCAAAGGTGCCACACTGGCTGATTCTTGCTTTTTCGTGGTTTTATACTGCACTTTTAAGAGGCAAACCCTTGAATCAATAGGACACAGGTTCCAGATGGATGGAGTTAATCAGAAAATCTTACTACTCTTGGATTTCCTCACCAACTAACAACTTCAGTGCGTCTCCCAGGTAGGACTTCTTACTGGACAGGGCATCTGTTAGTGCCTGTCACTTCAGAGATGCAGTCAAAACCAAGTCAGGACTAAGACACAGTTCACCTTTAGCTGATACCTTTATGCACCTGTCCAGTGTGGAGGTGAGTATGGTAAGGCGGACAGTTTTGCTCCGTAAAACAAGTACATTGAGATGGACAGAATAAGCCCTGACAAACCACTTTGGGAGGGTATTAGAAGAGGGAATCCATCCTGATCGACTAGTTATACTTAGACAATAAAATCAGGGATTTTCTTGTCCCATTAGGTGTGTATGCAGTATCTAGCACAGTGAGGCCCCATACCCAAATCATGGCCTGCCATGGTCGATGCAGTACAGATAAGTCATCTCTCATATTTATCAAATTAAAACAAAATCCCTCAAAGACTTTCCATTTTTCTATCCATCCTCTGGCTCAATTCCTCGGCCAAATATGCTTCTTTCCCTTTATTTGGGATTTTCAGCTAGCCAGGAAACTGGTGAAGAAACCAAACAGACATCCATGACAAGGAAGACAGCAAGGGGACCTGATGAAATCCTGCTCCTCCACAGCACAAAGGGTCCTGTAATCAGTTATCCAAGACCAGCAATAATTCCTCCTGTCTAGGAGGCTGAGTAAATGAGCGGTTAGGCTGAAGACAAGGGACAATCAAAACCTTTGCTAGTCCCATTGCTTGCTACGGGTCAATGGATTTCTCCTCTGAAAAGATTTCTGTCTTCACTTGTCTTTGCTGTCAGACATTTATTTTCCCCTTCCCAATGTCAGCCCTGAAGTCTGGCTGGGTAGGATAGGCAGGTTGTACTGCAAGTGGCATTTGCTTGAGAGACTGATTATCAGCTTTCTGCTCCAGAGCTCATCCAGCAAGTCCCTGCCTTCCTTCTTCCCTGACCCTGAGCAGCTCTGAAGAGGATTAAAGTTTTCAGCTCTGGCCAGGCTCCAGTCTCTTCCAGATCTAAGCCATCAACATCCCATTCAGACGCACCATCTCCTCACGCCCACCCTTTGTCCTTGTATTGCGCTCTCATGTCCCTGCTTTCTCACGTCCCTGCTTTCCCTATCTTTTTTTTTTTTTTAATGCATTCATTCACCCTTTGCTCTCTCACCAGCATTGGTTTGAGTCATGTTTTCTAGCACTTGACAACTCTAATCCCTGCCTTCAGGAGTGGAAGAAGGACAGGGTGGCTGCCCTGGGAAGCTTGCACAGGGGGTCCAAGTATGGCAGCTGCTGCCAGAACCAGTCCAGCCTTTGCTCTGCACTGGGGCACAGACCCTGGCAGTGATGCCTCTGCTCCTTCAACCCAAGAGTAGCTCCTTTTTAAATACTACATCTTCCTCTTCAGTTCCAACCATCCAAGCTGATGCTATTCTCTCTCTCTTGCAGTGTTGCTAATTTCTCCATCCAAGTTTTTCCTTTCCACTCATTTTTCATAAGTACATCTCTACCTCAGATATCAACAAAGGCTCCTAAAAGTAAAAAAGAAAAAGTCTGTAGCTGCTTAAGGCAAGGCAGCCAGATGCAATTTGCCCAAATCACTCATATTTCTCCAAATTGCTATGGTTCCTCCAGTAACCTGAAAGGCCACAGCTTCAAACCGCACCATCCTGGGCACAGTGACTATGCTAGACCAGCAGCTAACATCTCTAATGGAAAACCCTCCCCTGCATATGCTTACAAATGAATTATAAA